GGCGGTGACTTACACTCGGAAAAACGAAAAGGTGATATCGGCAGAGCAGATCTTCCCTTGTAATAGGCTGACTGGGGACTACTGCTGGGTACTGGTCAATGGAATCACATTTCTCAACGTGTATAAGGCCCCTAACGACCCGACTTCAGTCCGCACGCTTGTCGACTGGAAACCGTCTGCGAGGTCCATTGCAGCCGGAGACTTCAACTCAGTGTATTCTGCCTGGTAATCGGGAGCAACTCGGCTTTATGGACAGGGTGATGAGATAGAGAGGTTGGCGGAAGACCACAACCTCTCTTGTCTTATAATTGGAGAGCCGACCCATAAAGCTGGCAATACTCCTGATCTCGCTTAGACTAACATATCTGGAGCCCGTGCTTGGGCCGATCGGGAGGAGTGTATGACCAGCGACCATCTTCCGATCCGCGGAATCGTACCTGCAGCAACCTTCACCGGGAACCCGGGCCCATCGAAGATCAGAGTGCCCAAGAAAAATCTGCCTAATTTTGCGCGTGCCGTTGCGAAGTGGGTACATCCGCCGTTAGACTTGAGTACAAAAGAGAAAGTGGATGAGTATGCACAAGAGAATTGCTTCCATCTCTCGGAAGCCATCAAAGCGACAGGAACCCGGGCCAGAAAAGAAAGCGGCAAATCTGCGCCGTGGTGGACTCCTATGTGCAAATCTGCACACGCCGAATACCGAGCCGCAACGACACCGACACAGCGGGCCACTTGTGCGAAGAAGCTTCGTGCGACAATCATAGCCGCCAAGAAAGAGTATCAGAAAATTCAAGTGGAAGCAATGATAGCACCGTCTAACATATTCAAGCTGATGCGTTCGGTAAACCATAGACAGGTCAAAGCCCCTCCGCCACTCAATCACAACGGAAAGTTCATCACGGACCCGTTAGAGCGAGCTACCATTCTCCGAGACGCCCTTCTTGAACGCCACCAAGAATCGGACGACCTTCCGCCATGCAACACTCGAAGCGATAATCGGATACCTTGGGAAGGTGAAATCTCAGACGAGGAAGTGCGAACTTGCACAATCGGCTGTGGGAAGACAGCACCAGGGGCAGATGGAGTTACGGTTGAGCTCCTCGAGGCTTGCTGGAAGACGATCGGACCGTGTGTTACGCAGCTCTTTAGAGCCTGTGTACGGCTGGGCACTCATCCATCTTGCTTCAAGCTGGCAGAGGTGGTACTACTGGAATAGCCAAATAGGGATCCAACCACAATTAAAGGCTGGAGACCTATAGCCCTCCTATCATGCATAGGCAAAGGGTTAGAAAGAATACTGGCCAAGCGAATGGCGCACCTCGCAATCACTCATGATGTGGTTGGCCATCAACAATTTGGTACGCTCCCAAAGAGATCTGCAACGGACCTGGTTTCCTGCGTAGTCCACGATGTCGAAGAAGCTCGCTCCCAGGGATGGGCCTCAACATTTGTAACTTTAGACATCCAAGGAGCGTTCGATGCAGTGCTCCACAATCACTTGGTTAGGCGCATGCAAGCTCAGGGATGGCCAAACTCAATCCTCCGATGGACGACTTCATTCCTCACACATCGGAAGGTACAAGTGCGTTTCTCCGGCGGAGTCATCACCCAGAGAGAGCTGGTCTGTGGAGTCCCTCAGGGATCACCTATATCGCCATTAATATTTCTTCTGTATATGGTGGAGCCGATGAAAAGTGGTACCCCGAGATTGAGGTTTAGCTACGCGGACGACATTGGAATTCTAGGATTTGGACGCACAATTGCTGAATCTGCCCCTGCCGTACAAGGTGAGACAGATCATCTTCTCGAATGGGCGCGGAATAATGCTGTCGACTTTGACACGGAAAAATCGGAAGTTATTCAATTTCCGGGACGACGCCGAGAGGAAGCAGTTGGTGTTCATGTTAACGGAACCCTTATCGAGCCTGCGGAAAATAATCGCTGGTTAGGCGTGAATTTGGATCCACGACTCAATTTCAAACACCATGTAAATACGTGGTGCGGTAAAGCGGTAAAAGTTGCCCAGCACATGCGCCGTTTCAACTCTGCCTTTCGGGGAGCAGCTCCTTGGCCATTGACTAAGGCAGTAGACATGTGCGTTGTTTCGCTCGCAACTTTTGGATCTGATGTCTGGTGGCCAGGGTCTAAACGCCCGACCGTACGTGGAATAGTCTCGTCCTCAACCTCCAACCTCTGCGGCATGATTGACAGAGCGAACCTGATGGGATTGCGGGCTGCACTTCCAGCAATGAGGACAACACCAAATGTAGTCCTTCATAGAGAAGGAGGAATCCCGCCGGCAAAGGTCATACTTGAAGGAAACCGACTCCGAATTTCGGCAAGGCTTAAGGCCTTTGACGATCGACACCCTCTGAGGATCCGCGCTTCCGTGTGCCCGAATTTCGGCACCCGAAAATACAAAAAGCCTTTCAAGTCCTAAGCCAGACCGGAAATTCAAATGTCACGATTACAGCGTGCCTACCGAGAGCTTCCCGAAGCAGAGGCCCCTGAAAGCCTGATGCCGGTGGTTTACCCTAGGAAATCAGGCTCAAAGCCGATTGAACGCGAATATTGCGTTAGACGAATTAGCGACGTGCCAGAAACGGACATTTGCGCATACTCGGGTGGTTCATCGGAAGGACATGGACGCTCCGCCTGGAGTTTCGTTCTGAGGAAGGATAGGAAACTCATCGGCAAAGGAAGTGGCATCAAGCACGGGGGAGAGGTGCTGGATGCAGAGATAATTGCAGTAAGGAAGGCTCTGGAGGCCGCATTGGAATTCACGGAGGACGAGCAGTTCAGGAAAGGTGGAGGTATGTGGCAGATACACGTGTTTCTAGACAGCCAGCAGGCTGTAAGCGCATTAACGACAGGCTCGTCCTCAACTAGCCTAGAAGATGTACGCAAAGGAGGGCAAGACTGAACACCTGTACGCGGTGTCCTCTACGAACCTGGGAGTGAAATATTCTCCCAGAGCTAAGTTCAGTCAAATTTCGCAATATCAAAGAAGTTGGCCCACGAGGCAAAATTTAAAATTACTCCACCACGTCGTTTTTCCGCTCCCAACGAGTTTGACGCCTACCTAAGTCTCATCAAGTCTACAAGTACGACCTAGTACATCCTCATCCCAATGACCACACCTCTCTTCGACCTTCTCTGGTCTCAGTTGACCAGCAAATACACGCCCACGCCGATATTTACACCAGATGGAGGAAGCAAGCGTGGCTCACAAGTCTGGGAGACAGTTCTTTGGAGTGGACGTGAGAGGGATTAGGATAAGTTGATAAGATGATGCAAAGGAAAGATATAACCTCAAAGGGCATGAAATTCCGAATTTTGGCAGGGAGATTTACGAGTTGGGCTTTGTGCACGCCAAGACTTCGCTTGCGAGAGTGCAGTTGACACTATAAAAGCAAGCAAACGATGGAAGGTGTAGTGGTCCGCCTCCTGGTGGTGTTCTCTGGTATGGTTTGAGTAGCCTGGGCACCTACTCCACCTGGGAAGGAGACACCTCAGATCACTTATCTCGCGGAGAAAAGTTGAAAGATGATGGAGGCATGTCTGGATAACTCAGGGTTTTTGAGACGTTCCCCTGGGTGGGTATTCACGGATGAGGGTTGACTTGGGGTGAAGAAAAAGCCGCCATAACTTTGCAGTGGTACTTGCAAATGAAATCCGAGGCATGAGTGCTCTTCCTTTACGTTGAATCATCTATTCTGTACTTTTCTTTGATGTTGTGTCATAGCTAGATAGCTGAATACGCAATTCAAATCTGATGCAAAAAAAAAAAAAGATGTACGCAAATTCCGTGCGTTATCTAATAAAGCTGAAATATCAGTGAAGTGGGTTCCAGGGCATGCAGGAATCCAAGGAATTGAAGAGGCAGACGCCATGGCCCGTGCAGCACTTCGAGAATTGCCTAGCCAGGAGACACCACCAGGATAATGTGCTCTAGCATATCTACGTGGTCTCATGAATGGCAGACGACAGAGGCTGCTAGACGACTGGTGGGAAGAGGCCTGTCCGCCTAAATACCGCCAACTCAACCTACAGGTGCGGAGACGCAAACCACCCGAACTGTCTCTCTCTAGGCACCTCCTCCGGGCACTAATCGGAGCACGAACAGGTCACGGCAATTTTGCAACATACCATCGCCGTTTTAATAATCCATACGCTCCTATGGAGTGCTCTTGCGGGAAGGAAACTACTCCAACCCACTTCATCCACTGTAGCCGTCACGCACAACAAACGCGTAGGCTCAGAAAGTCAATGTCCCACGCTGACTTTATCAAAAAGCTTCTCGGGCCCAAGTGCCACGATAGCTTCAAAATATATGCGGAGGAAACCGGCTGTTTTGATAGCCAATCTGCCCACTCATCCTCTGCTCTCAGCGGGGATCAGACAATCTTGTCATTGCCATAACGCATGACACAAAAGGGATCGATGCGAGAAGTGTTGTTTCTCTGAGAAAATTTTTATGTACTTGAATTTAGGGTTGAAGGATGGAGTCTCGATTTAGGAGTCGGAGTAGGTGGTGTCTTCTGAGTTATAATTTACCTTCTACTTTTTCTGTAGCGGGTTTCGCAGTTGGAATGAGTTGGGCCTGTAAGCAGTGATCCCCGCCGGCTCCACCAGTCTTGTACCGATAGTGGATCTAGAGCTTTAGCTTAGGACTTTAATATTAAAAACAAAAAAAACAAAAACAGAATCGTATAACTCTTCCCTGAATCATTACGCTCGATCGTGAAACCACCCCGTAGTAATTCCGACAGTTTCCATATTTTTTGCAACCCTATATTTGTATGACCAAGTTGGACATCTCTTTAGATAATAAGGCTAATGACGTAATAATGATAAGTGTCCGTGCGAGAGTCAGTAGGAGATAGGCGCAGCCTGTAACATCTGACTACGCTTTAAAGGAAGCAGTCATTGTGCCTCACAAAGATATAAATGAATATAGTTTTAATAAAATTATATATTTGCAAAGTTTGTCAAGAATTATGCGTGCCCCAATTTCACTTGTAAAGATTCGGCCATTTGTTTCGTCGATATCTCTGCCCGAAAAAAATCTGCAACCATCTTTATCTCTCGACAAAGAAATGTCGAAAAGCTACTCGTCTCTAGCTCACACAAGAACTTATGAGGTGGGTAAAGTGTTCAAGCTAATCTTCAAATATCTAACAGTTTAGGATGCCATTACTCTCTTGAATACCCTCCAGGCATCGTATCCATCGCCAAAGGCTCGTCAGGAGATAATCCCCAAGACGCCATCTAGCCCGAATGATAATATTCGAGCCTGTATACGTCTACTTGGTTACGAGGTACTAAGGCTTCTGGTGGCGCTTTCGTTTCCGCTTCTCTGACCCTCAACAGACATCAGACCTAAACAAGCTAAACATTGTGCACGTTACTGGTACTAAGGGTAAAGGCTCGACATGTGCCTATGTAGAATCGATTTTGAACCAATATCGACTCTCACTAAATGTTCCGCTAAAGATCGGGCTTTACACGTCGCCTCATCTCATATCGGTACGCGAACGTATTAGGATTAACTCAACCTCTATCGCTCGAGAAAATTTCACCAGATGTTTCTTCCAAGTATGGGACTGTCTAGAAAGCGCTCCCACTATCGACGGATCATCAAAGCCATTGGAGAAGATCGGCTACTTTCGATTCTTGACGCTTCTCAGTTACCACATATTTATCCAGCAGGATGTAAACGTAGCGATATATGAAGTTGGTGTGGGCGGAGAAAATGACTCTACCAATATAGTGGAAGTACCAGTTGCTACTGGTATATCAATTATTGGTATTGATCATACCGCTGCCCTTGGTAGCACTATCCCGGAAATTGCGTGGCATAAAGCAGGTATTATGAAGAAAAATTGTCCAAATTTTACGGTTGAGCAGGAGCAACAGGCCATGGAAGTCATCCAGAAACGAGCCATAGAACGTCACGTTGAGTCATGCCGTGTAGTCGAGACGCTTCCACAACTAGAAGAAGTACAGATTCAACCGGATGCGCCCTTTCAACGAAGAAACGCATCCCTGGCAGTGTATTTAGCTGATACCGCTCTTCGGAGGGTATTCGGTGGATATAACCATCGCCTATCCGTATCCAATCCATTGCCTCGTCAGATAGTAGCGGGATTAGAGCAGGTGGTTTGGCGAGGAAGGTGTGAAAAAAAAGAAGATGAATTAATTACCTGGTATTTAGACGGTGCACACAATGTCACTAGTGCCGAAGTAGCCGCCGCTTGGTTTGCCAGTGAGATCTCTAGGGTTGATAACGAATACATGCGAATGAATTCCGGATCCCTGAAGAGTGGGCTGCGCTTCTTGATATTTAATCAACAGGGCAAACGAGATATAATGGCACTGTTGGAGACGATGTTTTCAAATATAAGGGCAAATAACATACAATTTGATCATGTAATATTTTGTCCTACAGTCCCAAGTGGCACAAATGCTCGAAAAGGTATGTAGACAAATATTTCAAGCTTATATATCCGCTAACTAATACGAAGACTTGGTAAATGCGTCTATGGATCCGATAGCAATCAAAGAACTTAGGGACCAAATAGCTTTCGCAGATAGATGGATAGATCTCGACCCTAACGGAGCCAAAACTCATATTTTAGCTAGTTTGGAAGAGTCACTGAGCTTATGTCGAAGATTAAGTTCAGGAAAGTCGGAAAAATCTCACGTATTCATTACTGGTAGCATCCACCTCGTAGGACGTGCTTTGGAGATATTAGAAGGCGTAGATTCATTATGAACCTACGAGAGAAGGTTCCAGGAAGGTTGTCCTTAAGTATCAAAAAAAGAGCTAAATAGCATCATCAGTGTTGTGTTTATTAGGGCCCAGAGCAGCATAGCCATGCAGATAAGAAGTGAACACATTGGGCTCAATTCCTATCTGCACAGAAGAAAAGTACCAGGAGTAGAAAATCCACGATGCCAATGTGGATATCCGTCCCAGAATGCGAAGCACATGATCATGGCCTGCACCAGCTAGGCCAGAGGTAGAGGAGAAATACTGAGAAAGGCAGAGAACTGGTCATTTGGGGACATGATGAACAATCCCAAAGATATTGCAAGGATAATTTTACGGAATAATAACAGGGGTTAGAATGATGGTTTACTATTAGCATACAAATCTAGCAGACCTGAGTAGGGAAAGGTAACGTAACAGTGAACTACGAGCATGTACATAATAAAGCGAAGCCTCCAGACGAGTTGCCTTCTTCACGCAACGTCTTCTCAATATTATCCTCAATCTAGATATTCCATCTCTTCCTTGTGAAGACCACTTCGAGCCCGTACTCGTATCAGATCACGACATGACCTCTATCTCTTCTTGTGGAAGACCTTGACCCCCTATTTACTCACACTTGTACCCTGTGGACAAATAGTATACACACTCCTCGAGAGATAACTAGATGGATCCAGCAGGAAGGTTAGAGCAGTTTCGACTAACGCTTGAAGTCGGGGCCACGATGGAGGAGAGAGAGGAGAGAAGGGGAAAGATGATCTCTTGGCAGTAGCAATGGAGTAGACGGTATCCGCATGGGACATAACAGTGTTAGTGCACTTCTTGAGGGTAACACAACTTCAAAGTGTATATAAATTGAAAAGTTGATGGGGTTTTTACCATAAAGGTTGTTATGACACGCTGATTATTGCAAGTAAGAACTCAAGGTTTAAAGGTTAATAGAGCTAAAGAGCAAAGCTTTGTCTACAAATTACATATATAATGAGATTTAAGCGAGTAGTAATGAAAATGTCATCAGAGCTTCCATAACGCCAAACCTCTGTGGGTATCCTAATCCAACGCCATATCTCTATGCTAGATCCCTAGTCACTTAACAGCCCCCCCTCATTTCAAGGGATCGTCCCGATCACTTCATCAGCATAGCGCATAGTTGGTCTTTATCTTGAATTCCTTTCCAGTAAACTTTCGGTCGGAAATGGTTTATTGGGGTGGCCATTGTGAAATGCTTGTACCTCTATCTCATCGTCTTCGAAATCGTGTTTTACAACCCAGTCTTTTGTTCCATCGCTCCAGCAAACTTCGTATTCGAACACCCCATTTATTATCCTAGAGTTTACTAAGTCTGTAAGGGTTTTAAATGATTCTTCATTATCAACAAACCATTCCATATTGTACTGCTGTTGAACTTGTTGTGTTGGTTTATGTTTCTCGAGTTTACTAACATGAAATATATCATGTATTTTACCAACTAGGTTTTTTAAATCTAGTTGGTATGTCTGGTTAGTAATTTTATGGACAATCCTGAGAGTACCAATTTATTTTTCAGTAAGTTTTTTGCAAGTTCTATTTCTTCTAATATGGTTCGTCTTAAGCATTACCCAGTCTCCAACTATGAACTCGATGTGCTCATGATTTTTGTCATAATATCGGCTCATTTTTTCATTTTCCGTATTCATAATCTGTTGCACTCTTTTCATAATACTGTCGACATTTGAAGCATGAGTGGCTGCACTTTCGGAAGTCATTAACTCTCCAGGCTCTTCACTCTTGGTCTGAAAATTTGGTAAGTAGCCTTGATCTGCATAGAATGGCGCCATTCCTATTGCAGCGTGTTTTGAGTTATTCCAACAGAATTCATATAATTCTAGATATTCATCCCAGTAGTTTTGTTGAAAGTTCACATAAGATCTCAGGTAAGACTCTATAGACTGGTTAATTCTTTCAGCAAGTCTATTACCTTGTTGATGAGCGGTTGTGGTAGGTGTTTGACTGAATTCCATGAGATAACCAAGTTGTTTCCAGAATTTGTTGACAAGCTGCTTACCACAATCTGTGATGAAAAGTTTTGGTATTCCATGTTGTCTAACTACACCTTGTCGAACTAACTTAGCTGTCTTTTCAGCGGTGAGACCAGCAAGTTTGCATGCCATAAAGCGACTACGTCTAGTAGCTGCGTCAATACATGTTAAGATTGCTGTATTTCCATTCCTAGATTTTGGTAGATCTGTTATGAAGTCCATGGCAACTCTGGACCACTTTCCATATGGAACTGGAAGTGGGCTTAATTTACCATACTGTTTGTGTGTTTTCGACTTTTTATGCATATAGAGTTGGCAGCCAGCGACATAATCTCTTATATCACGTGTCATGTTTGGCCAATAATAATTTCGTTGGGCTAGTTCTATTGTACGTGCAGTACCTCAGTGTCCAGCGAGTTGATTATCATGGCTGAGTTCCTTGGCTTTGATACGAAGTGATTCTGGGATATAAAGTTGATTAAGTTCATACCATAGTGCATCATCTTCTAGATGCCATTTTTCGGGGAGTTCATTTTTAAGTATTTGGGTGGCAAAATCGTCAGTATGTAATGCTTGAGCCATAATATTCCTGAATTCGAGTGCGAATATTGAACTTATATTTATTTTGTTGTCTTCTTTTAAGTTCAGTCCCCAGTCCTTGTCATCATCATTATTTTTGGTCATGTAGTCAGGTCTTCGAGAAGGTGCATCAGCGGGATTTTTCTTTCCTTCACAGTGGTAAATCTCAAAGTCATGTCCAGCTAGGTTTTCAATGTAGCTAGATTGTCAATGATTTGGGCAAACTGTTGATTTAAATTATCTAAGGTTTGTGTGATCACTGTAGATCTTGACTGTATGTTGCACACCTTCCAAATAAACTCGAAAATGGGTTAATGCATCAACTACTGTGAGGAGTTCTTGATCTGGAGTTCCGTACCTGGTCTCCTCTGGTTGAAGTTTTCTGCTCCAGAAAGCAACGGGTCTTTTTTCGCCATTGTGTCTTTGTGACAATATTCCCGAAATTCCTCCTCCTGACGCATCTGTTTCGAGAATTCCTTGTAGATTGGGGTCCCATTGCTGGAGCATGTGCGAAAGTTTAAAGCTATCCTTGATATTCTCGAATGACTTGAGTGCATTGGTATCAAAATTGAATATTTTCTGTGTAGCTTCTTTTTTCCGTAAGTTGGACATTCCTGCGCTTTTCTTGGAATATTGACGTATGAATTGCCTGTAGAAATTCGTGAATCCTAAGAATTGTTGCAGCTGCTGTGGCGTCCTAGGAGTGGGCCAATCCATAATTGTACTAATTCTTTTAGGGCTAATTTTTAATCCTCCTGTGCCAACAACAAATCCAAGAAAATCTACTTCAGGAAACTCAAATGCAAATTTAGAAAGTTTACAATATAGTCTATTTTCGATTAATCTCCGGAGAACCTTCACAGATTTATGATGAAATTCTTGTTTGGTTTGTGCAAAGGTCAAGAAATAGTCAACATAAGAAACAATACCTTCATTTTGGTCTCGAAATACCCTATCAATGAAAGCCTGCCATGTCGATGGAGAATTTGCCAAGCCGAAGGGCATAACTAGCCATTCAAAGCAGCCGTCTGGTGTCCGGAATGCCGTTTTCTACTCGTTGTAACGGCACGGCATTCTGCCATGTCATTACATTTATCAGGTGACCAAGAAGGTATGCTGGGTGAGGAACCAATATGTGGGAGGAGATAAGATAAGGTCACACAACCCTGGGAAGCGAGAGCACACACACAAAAGCTTGCAGATTCTAGTATCATTAGTCTTTCTTTCTTTCTACTTTGTCTTAGTATTCGCTCAATAGATTGAATATATAGTTATACAAGCTGTACTCTCACTTGTGCTTATTCTACGCCGTGACACTCGTGACCAGGAGTGATGCGGATCATATTATAAGCGGAGATAATGTCAAGACGTGTAAAGTATCTAGCTCCACAAAGTTTATGTAGTAAATCTTTGATATTTGGCACAGGATATTTATCTTTTGTTGTAATAACATTGAGATTCCTGTAGCCCATGCATATTCTTGACTCATGGGAATGAGGTTTTTTGACAAAAAGTACGTTTGCTGGTGCCTGTGCTTTGCATCTACAAATCCAGCCTTTCGAAATTAGATTGTTTGTTTGGTTTTTCGCCTCAATTCTCTTTGTTTCAGATAATCTAGACATAGGTATTACACGTGATAGTTTTCCATCTGGGATATCAACTATCATGTCAGTACCTTTTCTAAGAGGGGGAAGTTGAGCAGCTCCTTTCTTTGAAAAAGCTTCTTTTAGGAATATGAGATTTTCTGGGATCACGACTAGTTCATCTTCCGACTGTGCATCATTCTGTACTGAGAAATTTACAAGGGAATTAGATACAACATCATTCTTGTTTTGTGGTGGTAGTTGGTGTGAAATTTCTTCATCTAAATATTCTGACACGACTGTATCCTTTTTCGTGTCTTGGATCAATGGTTCGTAATCAGCAGGTCGTTTGTGCATGGTCTTAGAGATCCAGTCAATATTAGGGTTGACATTTTCCAGCCATGGCAACCCCAATATAGCACCATAAGATTTTATGGGGGCTTCTACAAATTCTACATTTCCTTGAAAGATTCCAATTACTTTTGTCAACATGTGAGATTCATAGGACTCATTTGCGGGAACTGTTGGAAAATATACTCTGTACAATATTGTATGGATAAATATGATGAAGTAAAGGAGACTTGATATTTTACAACTATGTGAACATTGAACTTATATATACATCTTAGGGGAGAAATTCCTACTAGTCTCATGTGCCTGTCAAACCTAGTGATGACCAGCCACCTCTCATCTACCATGATGATCCAAGGTACACTGTAGTACGTAAATATCCAATTGTAAATGCAACAGTAGGCGCGATTAGCGCACTCGTGACATGTGTAGAGAGGGTCGATCTTGTCTGGAATCTGACACGAAACAGGTA